GTGTGCGTGTGTGCGTATGTGTGTGTGTGTGTGTGTGCGCGCGCGCGCGCGAGTGGTTTGGGGGGGGGGGTTCATGGAGGGTTGAATAGTTTTAACCTGGAATTTAAAGCATTCACACTTGGAGCTGATTTTACTGTTGTTAACAGCTTATCCCATTTGCATGCAACATAAAACTGCTATATTATGTTGTTAGAATATATTATAGTCTAAAATAGCATACTATAGCCATACAGTATTGCTAGATGCTGCTTGCTTTGAATTAAGGAGTACAAACTTGATTGCTTGGTGAAGATGTCAGCTCAGTGTGTGTCTGGGCCTATTTGTGTTTGCCCATCTGTCCACCATAGAGGCATCTGTCCACTAATTAACATGGGTAATTCAGCAACTTGGTGATGAAGTTCTGCTGCACAAGGAAAATACAATTCACACTGTCTTTGCGGGGACTCCTTTCATGTTTCACGCTGGCTTTTTTCAAATTTGGGGCTCAGCCACCCCAAGCTATGCCCTTACTAATCATTGTAACAAAATCCATACTCACTAGCAGTATATTGGGCAGGGTGACCAATGACTCGTTTTATAAAGACTAGGTTGCTCCCTCAAAACAGGCTAATTTCATCACAACAAAAATACGATGCGAATATCATTTTCATTCTTCATCCCCGCACTACTTTGATGAAAGCATGTCACAGGCATATTATTCAGGCACATGCTAACTGCTTTTAAAAAGTGTGTGTGTGTGTGTGTGTGTGTGTGTGTATGTATGTATGTATGTATATCTATCTATATATCTTAGATAGATAGATAGATAGATAGATAGATAGATAGATAGATAGATAGATAGATAGATAGATAGATGTCAGAACATGTTATTCAAAAAAATAACTGAATCCCGTAATTGTCTTGCATGAGGACTTTTAAGCCGGGGATGTCTGAGTGCATATCACATTGAGCCTGTACCTTGTTCAAAGGCACTTCAGCAATGCTCAGGGACTGGCTTGTCTCCAATAATCAGTCATTTATTTTCTTAGTGACAGACCTGAACGTGCGATCTTACAGGTCCATGCAGACCGAGAAACCTCCACACTTCCATTCAGCTTCAAACAGCCCAAAGTTAAACACATTTTAACGACGCTTGAACATCATCATCAACAGTGCACATGCTTGTCTTGACCTCCTGCAATTAAGTCTATTAAGAGCAGTTTTAATAGGTCCTGGCTATCTGTGTTGTGCCACTGATACATATAGTAGCAGCAAATAATCCACAGCTCACGAGCCAGTAAACCAGTGATGCATACACACTAAACTCTCAATTCAAAGGACGTTTCTTGGTCAACTCACTTCTTATTTTCATTCAGAAGAACCAAAAAGAAGGATTTTGATCAGCACAAGTCCACTTTAAAATCAAGAGGTAACCTTGCCTCTTCTGGGAGAGCAGAAAGAGTTGAAATACTGTAACTCATTGTAAAGCCCCTTTTGCTCACATCTGGAGAGAATTCATGACAGAGTATTGACCATTTGGAATCCAAAAACAATGTAGTTCCAGACATTGCATTTCGCTCTGTTCCGGATGTCAGTAATGCACACACAATGCCTGTGATGACCGTTCAAAAAAAGACTTTTATTGCTCTCCTTTTACAACTCTTCTTTTACATCACCTATTCCTGGCATGCTGAATAAGCATTTTTTCTTCCAAGCCTTTTGGACACCCAGGCTGTGCATGAGCCTCTGCAAGATATTTTAAAAGCATATACCGGCACTAATGCGAATATACGATCATATTAAAGTGGTTGTCATAATTTATCTATTGACTACTGGTATGAATCGTAAATCATGAAGTGGTAGTCATTCGGAAGCACTGAGACCACCGTTGCCTCAGTTTTGATAATGCAACTGTTCTATATAAACCAATGGAGTGTTGAGTCCGTCCGTCACTGTTTAACTGGTTAAACCGAGTCGTATACGTCCACGAAGTTGATCCATGTTAAGTCAGGCAGCCTTTCGGGAAAAGACGCCAACAAATGAGCAGAATAATGTTTCCAATTACACACGCAAAAACCATAACCCTCTCGCGTAAACACTTTCAAGCGCACATTGTATGACATCTGCATGCTGTTTAATCAAAAGCACACTTACGTTGCTGCCGCGGAAACGTGTCCACTCCTTGTCCGTTGAGCTCCTAAATGCATTTGTATGCATTTGTCCCGGCAGCAGAATTCTGGGTGAAAACAGAATCACACTCGAAAGGATACCTGCTCATGGGCTAACCGTTCGGAAGCAGCCACGGGAAACTTCAAGTGGTCGGAGGAGTAGTGTTACGGCCGCCTCAGAGATTCCTCATCGTGTGACAGTCCACAAGAGAGCTCTCCTACCTCTCTGCCGGCTCCCTTTTGCGCCAAAGCGCTCCTGCCGCGCGCACTGAACCGGACGGTTCCGATATCCAAACTGAAGACGCAAAGTGGTTGCACATATACACACACACACACCCGCGCGCGCGCGTAGCAGGACCAGCTGTCGATGTGTTCCCTTTGCATTCACTGCGCATCCGACGCCTTTGCGAGGCTTCTTCTCCACAGGCTGTGCGCTGCGTCTTTACCTCCAGGCGGTGGTTTGCGCTATGTGCCTTAACTTGCACTAATGGAACAGCATTCAGCCCAATACAACTCCTACCAACCAGCTGTTAGTGTTGGATTTCACCAAGTTCTGCCTTGTGACATCACGGATAGAATTTTGGCATGTGCGCACTCTGGACAGAATGTTGACATTTGCGCATGTGGGTAGTCTATGAACGCACATTGGCCACATATACGTGAAGATATTGTTTGAAATGTATTCGTCTCCAGGGTAAACAAACTTCCAAAAAATGTAATGGCAATGTGATGTATTGTAAAAGTAATTGTTTTTAATGGTAATGAAATTATATGTGAAGGATGAGCTTCTCAGAGGTGCGAATATTTGGACTTTGGATTTTATACAATGGGTTTTCTCTGGGAACACAATTCCTAGACTGATAAAATATTAGGTTGACTCGAGCCCCAAAGTGTTGGATATGCCTTAATACTGATTTGTGCTTTCAATATTAAAACGGCATGCAGCCATCATTATATGAACCACTTTATCCTCACAAGGGTCATGGGCATGCTGGAGCCAATTCCAGTTGTCTTTGGGCAATAGGCCAGGTACACCCTGAACTGGTTGTTAGCCAATGTCAGTATTAAAAACTAGGTTTCTTATAATGCCATTTGTAAGACTTTGGTCATCCTTTATGGCCAAGAATATTTTTTCCACACATGTACTATTCATAAATATCCATCCATCCGTTTTCTAATCCGTTTATCCTCACAAGGGTGTGCTGGAGCCTCTCCCAACTGTCTTGGAGCAGCAGGTGGTGTACACGCTGAACTGGTTTCCAGCCAGGGACAGGCACACATCGACAAACAACCATTCGCGCTCACAATCACACAGAGGGACAATTTAGAGGGTTCCATTAACCTGCAATGCGTGTTTTTGAAATGTTCAAAGAAACTGCAGTACCCGGAGATAACCCACGCAGACACGGGGAGAACATGCAAGCTCCACACAGGAAGACCAGAGATGGAATCGAAGCCTGCACCTCTGCACTGCGAGGCGGACATGCTAACGAGTTAACACCATGCCAACCATTATTCATAAATTGTTTAATCACCCACCCCCCCAAAAAAGCTTGTTCTCATCATGCCTGCATGGATCCAGCTACTTTGGTTTCCTCATGTATTCCCAAAACATGCATAGTAGGTTAATTGAAGACTCAAAATTGTCCGTAGGTGTGAATGTGAATGGCTGTTTATCTTTATCTTGTTTATATTGGCGCTGATGCTCAGGGAAGATGCCAGTCAGACATGGCAGACCCAAATGTATTTTTAGGGTTTGCTCGGAGTGTCTGGCAGAATCCCCTTTCTTAAAAAATTTCAACTCCCACCTCTGGCAGAGCTTCGCCCACATCCTGGGGGAGGTGGAGGGCATTGAGTCTCAGTGGCCCGTGTTCCGGGCTTCTACTTTTGAGGCAGCCGATCGGAGTTGTGGCTGTAAGATTGTCGGTGCCTGTCGTGATGGCAGTCCCCAAACCCAAAACTCCACAGAGGAGGGCCTGAGCCCAGATTCAAACCCACAACCTCTGCACTGTGAGGTGAATGTGCTTGCCAGTCATCCAGTTTATGAGCCTTATTGTTTAGTCATACACTGGATTCACAGATATGACCACCTTTTCTCAATCAAACAGGCTTTGACCCACTTCCACTGTTCCAGCTCCAGATGAACACAACAGCTTAAAACAAACAGAGCTCTGTGGATCCCTGAGCTGCCCATCCCACTCCACCTACGCACCCCACTTCCCTTTTCCTAATGATTGTAGCCTCCCCCAGCACACAGAACAGACATGGATTGCATAGAAACTCTGGGACGCTACTGGGAGACAGAGCGTCCTTTAATACAGTACTACACAGTAAAATGGTACTGTGAGTAGGTAATTGCCATTGATGCCTTAATAAGGAGTAATTTATGAGAGGTCAAATGGATGTGGAAATTCCAAGTCAAGTCTTCCAGGCGCTGTAAAACAGCAGAGTCTTCATTTTGTGTTGTTTGCAAACATTTTTGTCCAGCAGTTTCTGTGTGAATGAGTTACATTCTCTCCCTTGCTGCCTCTTTTTGGCATCTCATGACAGCAATGATTCAAGCAGATGTTTTCACCCTTTTCCAGCAATCAAAAAGACGAGATGTTGCAGTTCAGACATAGATGCTACATGGACTGTATGCAAAACAACAAGAACTTTAGACGAATCTGTTGCTACCTCAGCGAAAACAAAAACTTTTTTGTTTTTCATGAAGAACTTTATTATTAAACTTACATTTAAAACCAATACAGTGTAATAAACATGACAATACATAAATTGGTATTATGAAGTGTAATTAAGCCATGTGTGTCTCTCTCTCTCTCTCTCTCTCACACACACACACACACACACACACACACACACCGAAGAACACTTGGGTGTTAGTATTCTTTTTAAGGGGGTGTGGCCTAGTGAGTGACGTCAAAAGCCTGTGTCAGCAAGAGTGCTATTCTAGTGTACAATTTTGGAATGCACTTTGACAGAGGTTTGGATCTTTAACTCGAATCCATCCATAAAATGCAAGAATATAATTTAAATTTTGTTAATGTGGAAATTTCGTTTTGGTGATACTTAATAAGGTCATTGTTGTTTGTTCATTGACTTAACATGAGGAAAGAGTAGAATCTCTTCTTCTAATGAAAAGTCACGTTTGTTCAATCCAATATTTCAACATGTACTCACATCCTAAGAACAACAGCTTTCCAACAATCAAATTCTGCTTTCGTTTTGTTTCTTGAGGAATGGGCAGATGGGTGTACAGTACACCGACTCCCCTCTGTAACATAATATTCCCTTCTAGCAGACTTCATAACTTAGGCACTGCGATAGCCAATAAATGTGATGTTATTTGAGACAAAATCTCAATGACACTCGATAGGGTGCTGTTCTCAGACAGAGTCTATATTGTCGTGAATATCCAAAGGTTATGTTTATGTTAAGAAACCTGACATTTACGCTAAGTCCGGCGCATTTACACGGTTTATTCTTGTGCTGATTAATGTGCACTGTCCCAATGAAATAAATAGATAGATAGATAGATAGATAGATAGATAGATAGATAGATAGATAGATAGATAGATAGATAGACACTCCCCCCTTCAAAGAAGGCAGGATTGTGTGGTTTTCCTTTGAATGATAAATAATTACATGCAAACTGTGCTGTATATTTATTGTTGTGCAGTTGTCAGCATTGCGAATAATTTAACATATGTCAGTGGAGATCACAAATCTTGTGAATACCACGCCTGTTTTTTGCAGTTTATTTTAGATTGTGTGTGTGCGTGTGTGTGTGTGTGTGTGTGTGTGTGTGTGTGTGTGTGTGTGTGTGTG